CCTAAAGTTCGTCCGTAAAAGATCAACTTCCGGTTGGCACCCGGCATCTTTCCCCCCTTTACTATAAAACACTTTTTGCGCGTAAAAAATCAAATAACACTGTGAGGCTCTAACCACATCATCATCAACTTCGGTCACCCAAGCATCATCACATTTATACCATTGATCACTCAATCGCAAGTAGGTCACGTAATGTCCCGATTCCAACATGCCCGAATGAGTTACCACCGCAAAAACCTCAAACTCGGCCGAACTACTATCATTTTCCTCGCCCTCGAATGAAAAAACTCTGTTCCCGAATCTTTTCTTGATTATCGAGGAGGATAAATACGGGCCCATGTCGAGTGAAAAGGGGAACTTCAAATGGCGGTCGATTTTTCTACACATTCTTCGAGTAGCAGAGTGCTCGAATCGTTTTATATGCAGGCATAGAACTAACGGAAGCTTCTCGAGTGATAATTGTTTCAATGCGTTTTGCTTCTCTCGACAGTTTTCACAGTACAGCTTCTGGTCGGGTTCTAACTTTTCGGGCCTTGTGAACTGATCCAAGCAGTTTGCAAGAGAAGGTGTTGTTAAGGCCTCGTTTGGCTTGCTGCTCGTGGAGTTTCTTGAAAAAGGCCCGTTTGTATTTAAGTCGAGGGATATGTCGATAAACGGGTCGTACGTTGACGAAGTACAGCCACAGGATGTGCATGTTAAGTCCGATCTCAGTAAACCCGAAAAAGCCCTATGTGCAATACATTGGCATTCCCGGTTTTCTGGGCAAAATATAGATGTTTTTTTTAGGATTCAGAGAAAGATTATATGTAAATGACCAAATGCAATGTGTGCAGTTTGTGAAATACGAACATAAGGAGAATGTATGATGTTTCAGAATGTTAAGGGTGTGATTGGAATAAATTCGTCCAGTAAAAAACCAATCAAAATTCAAATTTAACTCAACCCCATTATCCTCAATTTTATCCATATAATTAAATAATACTAATCAATCATCTTTACACATCACATCAACTTTATTTCACTATTCATTCACTCACAATCTTAACTAACCATCACTTCATATCATCTCTCTCCTACTTTTACATCAAATCAATTTTAATTATTTTAATATAATTTAAACTCTCACTAACAATTAACCATAACACATTTTTCAAAATTAACTATGGTTAACAAAAANAACATTTTAATTCTACTACAAGATTGCCAAGATATATCTTTACTATAATACTCTCTATTTTAGGATATGATGATGAATAAAAGACAAAATACCACAAAATGTAAGGGCCCGTATGTTTATTAATTAATTTGTTAATCAGAGTTAATATTAAAAAAAGTGATATGATTAGTTGTTAGTGAGATTGTAAGAATGTATTAAAATAATATTTAAAATAAAATAATTAAAATTAATTTGATGTAAAAGTATGAGATAAATGATTAGAAACGATAGGTAGTTAAAATTATGTGAATGAATGAATAGTGAAATAAAGTTGATGTGATGTGTAAAAATGTGATTTGTATTATTTAATTATATGAATAATATTAAAGATAATGAGATTGAATTAAATATTGAGTATAAATTAAATGTGAGTGAGTTAATTTGTAAATAAACATGCTCTAAAATATTCATGCAACTGTCTCATAAAGATTTATGAATAAGATTAACCTTATACAAAACATTTTGAATATCGACATGCATTCACCAATCATTATTAGACAACACGCACTGTATAATTCTAATCAGCATTTTCAAGCGCGACCGGTAATTGGCTAGGGCGAGTCAACAAGTCAATCATTTATTTATCAGATTAATTTTAAATGAATATTTAATTTATTTTAAAAAGTAAATTATATTTGTACTTTTTTATCTTGGAATCACAAATAAGAATAAACAATTTATATGTGAATTTTATAACTCAAAGTCCTAATAATATTTATCACATAATATACATATTTTTTTAAAATAAAACATAATATTTAAAAAATAAACAAAAAGTATATTAAATGATATGATAAAAATGGGTTGGCCCAAAATAATCAATATTTAGGTCGACTGAATCAAGATTGCTTTAATTAAAATTTGATCTGGTCCTTGTTATTCGGGTTGAAGGACCACTAGTGAAAATCCTGTGCGATGCACGAGTTTTCGTACTTTAGAACTTTTTTTTTTAAACTTTATTTTCACAATATATTAGCATGCTGACCCGTTTATATTATTATAAATAATATTTTAACATATATATTTATTTTTTAATACAAAATAATAATAATTTTACATATTTTGGTTCATCATAATACTCAATTATTAATCTATCAAAAAATCTATTATCATATAATGTCATTATTATTTATAACACTTGTAGAAGTAATATATTTGTTATATAATGATAAATAGGTAATGTATATTAATATTATTTATTGATGTAATTAATTTAAAAAGATATAAGCAATTTAATGTTTGGTAGGAATGTGATTATATGTAAGTTGAGATAAAATGAAATGTATCAAAAAAATTTGCTTATGATATTTTCCTTTAAATATTTGAATGAATTTGAAATTCAAATTACAAATCAACCTCCAGTTATCCAAATAATTTTAAAAAAGTTACCAATTTTTGTAAAATGTACGTGACAATATATTATAAATATACATGACGTCAGTAATGTTATGAATCTTTAAGTTCCTAAAATATATATTGTTTAGATATGAAACTAATTAATTTATATGTTAAGATAATATATATAAATATATGTATTGTACGAAATATACACGTGACAAGTTATTGTATTTGTTTATATATTGTTTGTATATTTGTTTGTATTGTTTATTATATTTGTTTATTATATTTGTATATAAATATATTGTTTATATATTTGTCTGTATTGTACGACAAATTATTATATTTGTTCATATATTGTTTAAATATATATTGTTTAGATATGAAACTAATTAACCTATATGTTAAGATAATGTATATAAATATATGTATTGTATGAAATCTTTAACGTGTTTGTTAAATTTTTTCCCTAAAAAATTCAAAATACATTTAGGCATGTTTTGTTTGAAGTTTGAAATTTAAATATGCATCTATATAACAAATCTCATAATTTATGCTAGCATTAAATGCTACTTGATTTTTTATTAAAAAAATTAAAAAAACATACAAAAAATAGAATGCAATTAATATTTCCTATTTTTTTGCTTACTATTTTTGAAAAATGTTAATTCTTATTATATATATATAGATTCAAACAAGTCTCAACTCTAATTTGAGTATTTGACCACTGTTACAAAAATATTGATTTTAACTAGAAACTATTATTCATTTATGTTTCCATCCTATCATCTTTAAGCAATATTGTTTCATCTCAATCTATTCACCACAAAATTCTTTGTTTTTCTTTCATAAGATTTTTGCAACACCATTATTACG